GTGACTGCACAGGTTATGTCACCTGCTGGATGGGCCCGCGGGGCGCTGCGGGCTGGACGGGGCGCCCGGCGGCGACCTGCGGGGCGGCGGGGACGTTGGGGCGCGACCTCCCTCGCACCCCGCGCCCCGCCACCCCTCCGTCGTCCCGCACCCGCCATTCTAAAAATTATTGTGAGCCTTTTTGGCGCATGACAGTTCATGATGGCACGTCCATCATGGTTGCCCCGCACTGTGTGCCCCGGGCGAGAGCGCCGTCCTGCTGTCCTGCCTCACCTGAGTTGCTGGACGACGAGAAGGCAACCTGGAGCTCGACCGTGTCAGCTGGGTCGGACTCGAGCTCGGGCTCGAGCGGGGAGGCGGAGGGGGAGGCGGCTGAGCTCATGCTGCTGCGGCGGTGGTAGCTGCTGCTGCGGACGAGGCTGTCCTGGCTGCCCCTGGCCGTGGTGGCGTCTTCGTGCATGTCCCTACACCACGCAGACGCACTGTTCCCCCGCGACCTTCACGTCCCCACATCGACGCACTTTCACACACGTCCTCTGAGGTCCAGCACTCGCCGCAGATCCTTCGTTACGCCGTTACGCAATACAAATTTGAACGATTGGATTATGTAGGTCTGTAGGCCACTTCACTTACACTTCGCATTCAGGCGGGACTCGCCAGTCAAGTGAGCGACTGAAATGTATTGCTAGTAAACAGTGCGCCGGCGCGTCGCGGGCCGCTTCCGACGGTCTCTGTGTCCAAAACGGGGCTCTTGGAGACGGGGGAAGCCCTCTAAAATTCTTAAGACACGTTTTCTCGAATTTGTGCAGAGGTTGGACGGCCGAGACGAAAAGTAGGTCAGCGGATAAAAATCAAAAGTGGTTATGTTTATTAAAAACAAATTCAGCGGTGGGTTCAGATAATTCTTTGGCAGGGAAAAAGTATTTGTGAAGGAGATGTCATTGCTCGGAAAGGACGTAAATTAATTTTGTTCGTTGTGTTGTGATGTGCGATCACACACGCGTTTGTCATTCCCTGAGCATTTGAATCTCGCTGCGTTTGGCGCGCGAGATAGGCACCTCAACTGGCGGCCGCTCCCGGCCGCCTCGACTCCTCGCCGCTAGAGCGCTCTGGCCGGCCGTGCCGGCCAGCCGACCGAACCCTGACGAGCCGCGCCTGCCGAGCTCGGCTCCTCGCCGCGCGGGCCCCTGGCCCGCTCTCACTCCTGTGTCAGACTTCGTAGCGTCAAGACGTCGTCCTGATCTTACCGTCCCGTTACGTTTCGTACCGTACCGCGTTGAGTCCGTCGAGTCTTGGTGACTTGTAATCTATTGGATAAATAAACCTGATTGTTCCTGTACCTTTGCCTTTCCTTCCGAACGCCTTTACTCTGCTGCGAACACGCTACACAACAGTTGTATGAGCATTTGACTTGCGTCGTACCGTGAGGTTGGATGGGTGAGTGCTGCCATCTGTTGGCGGCGCTCAGAACCACAGTCGCTCGGTGGCTCGCTCGGTGGCGGCCTGGCCCACCATCCTCTCTGCGCGCTAAATCTAAATCCGTTCAAATACCCTCGCTCCGCAGAGTTTCTTTTCGCGAGAGGACATGCGGGAAAAGGGAGTAAAAGTGGGTTAGGGACACTGTTGGAAGAAAGAGTATGGACAGAGAGGGAGGGTGGCCCGGTCAGTGGGCCAGGGAGCGCCCCGCGCGGCCGTGGCGAATGGGGGATAGGATGCCCCATCCAAGACAAAGGGAATGTTTGTGTTGTCTGCCGTTTGCTACCGTTTTGTTTCTTTCTGGCGGGCTAAGGCTACCTGGTCCTCACCGGACGCTACAGACGCTACGTGCCGCCGCGTCGTGCAGGAGGGTGGTCTTCGTGGTGTGTGGGAATATGCACCCCGCTGAGAGGCACGATGCACCAGATGCACCGCGCGTCGCCGCCGCCGGTTCAAAGTGCAAAATTCGATTCTGACCCTCCCACTCGATGAATTTTATTCGGATGAAATTTATTCTAAACGTTAACGGCTGGCGATTCAGTATGTCGACATGTGTGATTTTGGTGACGTATGTCGCCTCCCCC